TGATCTTATTCTACTCAGTTTTTGCTTAGAGCATCTCCAACCGATGCCAAAAACGCAAACGCAAACTCAAATTTGCTCCAACCGATCGCTAAACGCAAACCCAAAATGGGTATTTGGTGTGTTTGTTCCTGCTACAAACGCAAATTTGCGTTTTTACTGTTCGTGAACGCAAAATGTTTTGTGTATATGCAGTTTAGTCCTTTTACTTATTTTGCCTTCATTTTGGTGTTATGTATATTTTGTTTATTTGTTTATTTGTGTTATGTAATGAAAATGATACGAGACTATATATATGTCTGTTCAGGTATTCCTTAATATTTATATGTGAATTAAAGTCAATTGAAATAATATATTTTTTAAAGTAATAATTATCATACATTTATCCTTAATTTTATGTATGTCAATATATTAGTATATATATATTTAATTTTTCGATTAACACTACAAGATTAACATTAAAGACTATAATAAATCACGGTTTACATATTGAAATATTGAAAAACATTACGAATACATATTGAAATAACACTAGTACATGATAGATCACGGTTTAGGAAAAACATTTCAATAACTAGTGAATTGCAATTTTTTATTTTATTTGTGTGCTGAAATTTTAATTTTTAATGAATACTTGTTTCTCCGATTTTATTATGTACAATTAATTTTAATTACATAAAGTCCAAATTGAATTTAAAATAATAGTGTGGTTCAATTTGTAAAGTTGTAAAATATGTTGGTAGTATTGAAAAGTTATAAAAGTTGATGTAAAAGAGAATATTCTGAGAATATTCTTTTGGGTTTGAGAATGAGTTTTTCGGTTGGAGATGAATTACTGCAAAATGGGACAATTACTGCAAAATGGGTTTGAGTATGGGTTTTTCGGTTGGAGATGGTCTTAATGTTGAGAATGAATTTTTGTTAGTTTGTTTATTTCTAGTTGTATAAAGATTTATAATTGGTGTTTTCTCCAAAAAAAAAAAAAAAAAAAACCTTAATTGAGAATTGATTACGGGAAATTTCATTGTGGATTGCAGCTGTATTTTTGTTTCCATTTTTATGCACTTCTCGTCGTTTTGTATAAGAAGTTTCATGTATTGTACAACTGTGTGATAAAAATTGTCTATCCTATATAAGGTATTGATATAAGTTACAGTCGTCTCTGTGTCCTTTAGCCCAGTATAATGACAGAGTTGGTCCGCCCAATTTTTTCAAAATTTAATGATAGAGTTGGTCCAGCCCAATTTTCAAAATTTAATGATAGAATTTTAATTGCAACTATTTGTATGGATTTTAATTAGGGCTGAGCATGGGACTCGGAGAATTCCGAACCGTTCCGAAAACCGAACCGAAATCACTCCGAATCGAAAAATAACCGTTGACCATTTGACTTTCTCCAAACCGAACCGAACCGAAAAAATAACTGGTACGGTTCTGGAGATTTCACAAATATCCGTATCGAGAACCGAACCGAACCGTACCGTACTGTACCGAACTGTACCGAACCGAAATTAAGAACCGAATTATAGCATAAAATGTGTTACTAATATAGTTTATGTCAACTTTGATTCTATATAATATAGTAATAAATATTAACATTCATTTTAATTTCATTCTTAGTAATACATGATCTACAATTGAATTTTTTCTATTATAAAATAATTATTTAAAATAATATGAAAGTTTTAAAAATATTTTTGTAAGAAAAAAATATTATATTTTATTTGAATTTTAAATTTTCACTATTAGTTGCACAAATTTTAGTTATAACTAAAATTTAGAGTTACTTATAAAGTTGATTTCAAAATAAAAATTTTATGTGAGGAAGTAGTGATGAATGTTGGTTTTATTAAAGCATATAAAAATTAAATAACTAAAATTTAGAGTTACTTCTAGAATTGATTTCAAAATAAAATCTTCAATATGATGAATTATTGATGAATGGTTTTTTTAAAGCATATAAAAATTGAAATATAACTAGGTAGTCATTCAAAAATAATTAAAAAAAAAAAATCTCCGAAGATCCGAACCAAACCATACCGAACTGAACCGTCCCAATTGTCCCGAATATCGAACCGGGCCGAACCGAAAAATAAAATCTCCGAACCGAACCGAACCGAATTTTTGGTACGGTTCCGGAGATCG